AATTGGTTCATTTGAATTTTTGCTTTATTGTGATTGGTTTGACGGATTTCGACTGATAGCCAACTGAACTAACATAGTCAAGCTCACTGTCTGAATTGAATGTTTGATCGTTTTATAGTAATTTTTATAAGCATGATAGAAACTAAACTACAATCAGATGGAATTTATGGAAATCTTTTACAAATTCATATATTGACATGAATGCTGCTGTCCAAAATGTGAATTTTTTCAAGAGGGTGGAAATTTATGGATAAATTTTAAATGCTTGGCAAAGACGATCTCGCGAGCGACATTTCAGTCATTGATGTTCAAAAGAAAGCCAACATTGTTTTGAGTTTTATGAGCAGAAATTTACATCCAAAATCGTAAGTAAAGGACAAGGGAAGTGTATGCATGAATGTAATATATCAAAGTCAATTATGCGAGTGTGTGATGCGATTTATGCCAATATGGCGTATGGTAAGCAGATCGATGCTTCTAAAATTGTTGTTGACGAAGGACTTTTAGCTATGATTTCTTTAGTGCTTGGGGAATCGTGGCCGTTATACGGCAGCGAAATCCTACATTCCTGCAAATATATTTCAATGGACAAAAAATCTGTAGCCATAAGGCGCCATACTATTATTTACTTTATCATAAACAAATGTTTGGGGTTTTTCAGTTTATGATCATTGATCATTCAATCATTGGACAGTTATACTACATATTGTTTAAGATTTGAGAAAACTAACATTGATTACATGAGAAGCTGTTTACTATAACCTGTGATTTTGAGTCTTCTGATCCATGAAGCTTTTATTTTGACAATTTGACTGGAATGGTATTAAACCTGAGTATTTCACATACATGGAATGTTGTCCCATGTCACATATTGTCCCCTTTCTAACTGAACACCTCATGTAGAGATGTAAAGGTGTGTTAATCTACAGCTCATACCAGATTGTTTGCCATAAATTCCAAAGGGCTATTGATGTATGAAAAGCATTTTCTATAAAGTAAAAATGTCTTTCTATGTATGCAGATAAACCTTGAAATTTGGCAAAACAGCAAAGTATTTTTCATGATCACTAGGTAATTTTTCTGATGATCATTATAATTTCTAAACTAAATTATTTCAGATTTACATTTAAACAAGCTTTGATCATATGAAAAGATATTTATCATAACCAGTAAGCATGACACATGAACCAATTTTAACATTCATGTAATTATATAATTAAAGACATGTTGGTTACATTCTGTTTGTATTTGCAAATACAATGCTACTAGTGATTGCTATATAGCACACCTTGCATATACTTACAGAAGATAATAGTCTAGTGAAATGCCTAATAAACATTTATGGCATTAAGCTGTCCTTAACTGCAAATTTGATAATTTTGCTTAACCTTTGGCAGAAAAAATTTTGAGTTTTTCTCAAAAGGTGAATTTGCTGGCACTGATGTGGAGATGGGTAAGGGTTACAATAAACTTGCATGGTTTGAAGTCTGAGCTTTCTATATCTATGAACTGTCACTTGTAGTACCAAATTTCTAACTTAACTCATTACATAGAGGTTTGAATGGGGGTCTCTAGGGGGTCTATGCCTGACAACTTGGTAGAAATTTTAAAGACTATATCTGTTTTGAATAGCATTATTGTAAAATAAATTTTGCGTTCCTAGACATGCTAATGAGCCATATATTTGGCATGATAATGAGCCTAAATATTTGGCAAAACATTCAAGTATTGTTCACTTCATTATTTTTTTTTTTTGAAAAAAACGTAAGCAAAATGTTTTGTTTTTACGCAAAAACGATGCCCACAAATACATTTTGTATTGCTCTAAAACGCTGAAAGTGGCATTTTCAAGGCTCTGAAATTCAAAATTTCTCAGGGGAGAATGCCTCAGACCCCCAGGTGCGGAGCGCCTTAGACGTTTTATGACTGATGTTTAAAAAATCCTAGATCCGCCCCTGCTTTCAAGCATTTTACTCAGCTGTTATAAAGAGAAACGAAACGACCTTTTCCTTTGTTACCCTCAATCTCTCAGTTTTAAATTCTGTAAAAGCAAGGCCATTTAAATATTTAAATCCTTGCACATAGAACACAATATGAATCAATTTGAGAAGAGTTCATTGTTTCGCTTGCCCAAGTCCATTATATATAATTGGTACATCCTAGACTCATATCATTCATCAATATCGTACTGCATGACACAGAAGATAAGGGTCGATTTTCTTGAAAAAAGTCCAAAGTATATGCTACAATTTAATCCGGTTACCATGTCACCGTGAATCGTTTATTAAATTTTCTTTTCGCATCATCAACATCCGTAAAAACGACAATAGTTTGCCATATTTTAAGATTTTTACATAAGCCAAGAGATTTTTCTTGATTTTGAAGTCATTTTATAGTTCACTTGCCCGCCATTACAAAGCATAAATTGATTAAACTTTATGTCATTTAACGTAAACAACACTCCACGCAATTTCCACGCAAAATAACTACGTAGTTACTTAACTATCCGACAAACTACGTTTTGTGCAACGCAGTTAATAGGGACCTTACGATGCGACAACGGCAACTGCGACGGCAACCTCAATCTACTCTGAAGGGACTGGATCGACTAGTTGCCGTTGCCGTTCTCGTTGTAGCTAATAGGGAGTTTTAGCAAGAGTACGACTACGACTACGAGTACGAAATTTGACCGTGTAAGAGAATGGCACGAGGAAGTTTGTTGTCGTTGTCGCTTGGTCAAAATTTTGCTTTAGTTGTAAACAATAGAACGAGCCTTTTTATTGTGTAAAACACCGACGTTTGCGGAGCAGCTAAGGCTCTATTTGTCAATAATGATATCAAAGAATCGATAATACTGGTTTTACAAGAATATAGGACTCTTTAGACTGAAAAATCTTCACTATTTTAAGTTTTATGTACGATATATTTGTACTATTTTATTGTTTGTTTATCTTTCACTTTGCGTACGAAATACATGAAAGTTTTGCAGGTCATATTTTCCTTTTTAATGTACATCTGTGCTCAAAAAGGGTTCTAAATTAAAGCCTGGATGCTCGAAAATAGTACTGTAAACAAATTTCTTACAGAATAAAGAAATATACCTACTTTCTTTGCTTAAAAAGACATCGTAGTCGCGACTACGAATTTTTTACAAAACATCGTACTCAGATTGATGACGGCTACGTGTTTTTGTTGTCGCAACAATGTTTTCGCGCCAAAATGACGTAAATCGTACTCGTAGGCTCTGCTAAAACTCCCTATTTTGTCCTTATGATAAGGCGACGTTCGTAAAAAGCGCGGGAAATCTTTATGTTGATAAAAAGTTTTTTGCTAAACAGCTAGCTTCCATATTTATATATTTTCCATGATGCCGTGCATCAGAGACGCTCTGTTACTTTCTCATGGTGATGGTTTTCTTGGTGTAGATGACTGCATGTTGCTATACGAAATATATAAACCAAAAAACCCGAATATGTGTTACAGAAAGTACGACAAGTTTTCCATTCACAAGTTTTCTGACGATGAGTGCAAAAACAATTTTCGATTTTATCGCAACGATATATACCACCTACGCGACGTAATGCAGCTACCTCTAGAGGTAACTTGTTATAATGGTGTTCAAGTCGACGGCATTGAGGCGCTTTGTATATTTTGATGAGGTTTGCTTATCCTTGCCGCTTTGCAGATCTGGTGCCAACATTTGGAAGACCCATTCCACAGCTATGCATGATAACAAACGAAGTTATCAACTTCACATATGAGCGATGGGGACATTTGTTGTCTTCTTTAAATCAACCCTGGCTTTCTCCCTCCAATTTACAAATATTTGCTGATGCAGTACACAGCCAAGGTGCTCCATTGGCAAACTGCTGGGGGTTCATAGATGGTACAGTCAGACCTGTGACTAGACCAGGAAAAAATCAACGTGTACTTTACAACGGTCATAAACGAGTACACGCCATAAAGTTTCAGTCTATAGCAGCCCCTAATGGACTAATTGCTAATTTGTATGGCCCAGTCGAAGGAAAACGACATGACAGTGCCATGCTGGCAATGTCTGGTATCTTGAATCAAATGCAGCAATACTCAATGAATCCTGAAGGAGATATACTTTGTGTGTATGGGGATCCAGCTTACCCTCTTAGACCACATCTTCAAGCTCCATACAAAGGGGCTGGGCTAACAGCAGACCAACTTGCATGGAACAAATCTATGAGCTCTGTCAGGGTGGCAGTAGAGTGGGTGTTTGGTGATGTTGTTAACTATTTTAAATTTGTAGACTTTAAGAAAAATCTTAAAGTTCACTTGAGTGCAGTGGGGAAAATGTATGTTTGTTCTGCCTTAATTCATAATGCACGCACTTGCCTATATCAGTCAACAACCTCCACTTATTTTCAGCTTGATCCACCTGCTTTAGATGAATATTTTTTTGACAATGAATGAAAAGAGGTATTATAAATGCTGTATTGTGCTGCAATGTTTACATAAACGTTTGACATGTTTTAACAGAGTACAGAATGAATAGACCAAAACAATAACTAAAAACAACAATATTTAATACAAACAATACAAATAACAATGTAAGTTAGACCAAAAAATTAGTCCTAATCCTTCATTATTCTTATTTATGTTTATGTTTAGAAATATTAAATGTCTTATAAACACTGTCTTTCAACAGAACAATGATATGCAAACAAAAAATCAAATAAAACACAATGATTGTTACGGTTTTAGTTGAATTTTGTTGCAAACTTTTCAAATATAGCTACAAAGAAGCACTTTGCTGCTGCTGCTGTAACATCATACCTTGAGTCACTTCAAATAGCTGTTTCATCTGTTGTTGTTGCATCATTTGGGAATTAGTTAACTGCATAACTTGTTGCTCATTCTGCTCTTTTTGGCGTTCAGCTTCAAGCCTTCTAATGCGTAGTTCTTCCTGCATAAGTTCGTAATGTCGTTCACTTTCCGTTCTTCTCAGCTCGACTTCATCAGCTTTCATTTTATATCAATTTCGCCTTTTCTCGCAGGTATCGCATGACATCCGATCCACTGGTCCTTTTCTTCTTTTTAGCAGATGGCTCGTTATTTTCTTCCTCGCCATTCCTCTTTTTCGTTTCTTTGAACGTTTCCATTGAGCAGCGACGCATTTCTACAGCCTTTTCAACTTCTGCCTGAGCTCTCTGTTTTTTCTCGAACGTGAGTTGTTCATTTAAATGATCAGCTTCCTCAAACTGAGCTATGATGTCCTCCATAGCCTCGTCAAGTTCACTCTCTTCGGGTGAAATACCACTGGCTCTTTCTTCTTCTGATTGTTTTCTTTTGTATTTCTTTTCGAGCAGTTGATATCGATCGCGAACAGATCTCTGAGATACATGGAATTTTGGCATTTCAAAGCATTGAGCGATTTAGCAATGTTTTCCCAAATTTGGCCTCTTTCAGTTGATCCTCTTCTGTGAATCCATGGTCTAAATAGCAAGATTTCTCGTGATAAAGCTATATCATGGCTTGAGGACCATTTCATAGATGCACGTGAAGCAACAGTAGTGCTACAAAGAGATATTCAGAAAAATATGTAAGCATTTTAAGCCATAAGTAGCCATTTAAGCATAAAGGCTGAGTCAACCATAACCTCATTTACATATATTAAGCCAAAGATAACAAAACTCACCTCGCCATTTGACAATCGAATGATTTTTGCAAGATTTTTGATTTTTTTTCTCTGCCGTTCTGAAGCGACGCCAAAGTTGTTGTTTTCACGTCGGTTCCGTCTTTTCAAAACGTGTAAACAACGTACAGATGGTGCGTGCGCATGCTCAGTTAAAAAAAGGGATCAAACTCCGGTGCCGTCGCAGTAGCCGTTGTCGCATCGTAAGGTCCCTATTGTCGATTTCAGTTAACTTTTCAAATGGCGGTTGCCAAGTTACTTTCTAATGTTGCCAACTACATTTCCAAATATGGAATATTCGATATGAACTTGTCAACTTGAGTTGACAAGTTGTGTACTTGAGTACTGAAGTTGTGAACTTGAGTACTGAAGTTGGGAACTAAAGTTGCGAAGTACTGGCAAACGCGAAAGGTCTTTGTACCCTGTAGACATTTGGCAATGAACCGTTCAGTAAGCAAGGAAAAGCTTTAGCAATTCTAATCCGTAATCCCCCTTAGAGTGTTATAATACGATACGCCGTTCACATTATGTAAAAAATTTACAGTAAATGTGGCACTAGAAGAGTATCGTTGGATTTTAAATGCAGGAGTACCCTGCATACTGTACCCTCGACGTCTGTTGCCACTCGTAACAACTACAGGCGACTCATCAAAGAAATGCATACGGTTGCAATCAATCAATGAAATATTTGCTACGTAAGCTTCTAACTTCTCCATAACGTCCGGCCGTTCTGTCTCTCGAGGAATTTGACTTATTATCTTGTAAGAGTAACCAAGATCTTTATTCAAAATTCTACTAATGGATGACCTGCTAGGTATGTTTGCTGGAAGGCAAACTTTGATATTTTCTAGGTGTTGCTGAATCTCTTTTGCGTAAATAGATGGTTTATTAATTTTTAGATATTCAGCGTATGCAATAACGTCATCTGTACGCGTGGTTCGAACATCACGTTCGCCCTGGCGAGGTGCAATAGAACCAGTGTCTACACATAGATCTATTATATTTGATATAGTCTTATACGGTAGATTTAGTTGTTTCAAAATGTTTGTCAAACGCTGGTTATTTAACAACCTTTCAAGTATTTCATTTCTTACTTCTATTGGTAAAGCTTTTCCTTGCTTACTGAACGGATTCATGGCCAAATGACTACAGGGTACAAAGACCTTTCGCGTTTGCCAGTACTGCGCAACTTTAGTTCACAACTTCAATACTTAAGTTCCCAACTTCAGTATTCAAGTTCACAACTTCAGTACTCAAGTTCACAACTTCAGTACTCAAGTACACAACTTCAGTACTCAAGTACACAACTTGTCAACTCAAGTTGACAAGTTCATATCGAATATTCCATATTTGGAAGTGTAGTTGGCAACATTAGAAAGTAACTTGGCAACCGCCATTTGAAAAGTTAACTGAAATCGACAATAACTTTCACATGCGCTCATTGTCTAAAGTTTCACTGCTTCCATCATTTCGCTTCCATCATTCCGCTTTCGTCAATCCGCCATTCTATTTCTGCGTTTTACTATTACCCATCATGAAAAAGCACTGCTTATTCTTAAAAGAATTCTTTAATTTTCTGTCTCACTACGAGCTCTTATTATTTGACCAATATAAGTTTTACCACTGAATAAATAAAAGCGGAGAAATTTTTCCTAATAATTTATCTGTATAGATCACAACAAAAGCGCCTTTTGACTAAAGCTAAAATTTTTATAACGCTATCAATAAGTCCTGCGGAAGTGCTATCACACAATAAGAAACAACAACCTTTTAGAAATGACCAAAAACTCACACATGTCAATTTTAGAAAATAAAACTGTATACTTACTTTCGCTATAGAATGCATCAGCAGAAAGTGTCTACAAGTCGAATACATTCAAAGAAATTATTAAATGATGTTAGACGAACAAATAAAAACTGAATAATAAATATCTTAATTATAACATGAGAATTTACTTTTAAAGTTAATATGTGAAAAATTATAAAAACAATGTTTTAACGATTGTAAAAAACATGTGGTCTAAAACCTAAGGGTGCATGCTATTACATTGAATAATTTTACTTAAAATTTGTGCTTAATCTTCTTACCATGATGACGATAGCTACTAGCGCAACAGATATATGGAATTTCATGATGTCGACTCAATGCAGCAATTATTTCATGTACTCTATTTAAGATAAAGTCTGAGTTAAGAGTAGCTTCCAACTGAAGGCATTCACATTTTATAGTCACATTTATTGGTCATGTTTATTATAATCAGAATAATAAAGAAATTAGAATACTAAGAATCTTTGATGACATTTCCCCTTATATTATTTCCGTCATACTAGAATGTTTTTTGTACTTACTATTTACCACATACTTCAATGTTATTTCCCCCATGTTAGCATAGTAAGTATCTTCAATGTTATTTCCCCCATGTTAGCATAGTAAGTATCTTCAATGTTATTTCCCCCATGTTAGCATAGTAAGTATCTTCAATGTTTTCCCCTACACTATTTCCCTCATAAAGTCAAAACACAAATTTTCAAATTGCAACTTATCTTAAGTTATGCACAACACTAGACGAAAATAAAGCTGTTTTGATGTTTTAGAACTTGGTTCTACAGTAACTTATCATGATTCATATTGATATTACAGCTATATAACAAAAGCTTTTATTAAACTGGTCGTTATCAATGCTTCAAAAAACTACGCGTGTCGACCGAAAAGTGGTTCAAAGTGTAAATGATTATAATTTGACAATGTTTTTATGTGGTAACCCGAAAAAGTTGAAAGTTGTGTCAAAAAACCTTTCGAGAGCCTGTTGCCACAAGCCCACTAAAACAGAGAAGTGGCTACGTTTTACAAAAATTTCATAGAAATTTTACAAATTTTAAGGGTAAATTCACAGTTTGAATGTAAACCATTATTTTTGTCATGGAAAAAATGGTTCGATATGATTGCATGTTATAGTTTAGTACACTCTCTCGTTTTTTTGGGGGGGTTGTACAAGAAGTAATGTACAACAATATCAATGGCGAAACCGGCTGAAATGTTTACTCGATAAATGCAAAATTTTAGTAAAATTATTATTTATGTCTAAAGAGAATCAATTCCATTCACTGTAGTTCCAGTGAATGTACAAGATAACATTTGCATGATGGGAACAAACAACGGTCTTTCAATACTGACAATGGTAGCAATGTCAGTCTAGATATAAATCTTTAAAATGACATTTATTGATTAAAAATATTTACAAAAATTATTACAATAAAAAATTTAACTTCGTCGAAGAGTTTCTTTGGCAGTCATTTTAATAAACGCCGGGGCGTTTACTAGAGGGAGGCGAAGAAATACGGTAATTCGAAATGAAACAAAAAGTGATTATATGATTGCGTATTACACGATTATCATCATGGCAGCCAGTCTATTGCCTTTTTAACGAACAAGAAAGATGAAATGGTAAACCATAGCCATAAAGAATTTGCACATCAAAGGGTCCCTTATACGGCTGACATAATGCCAGAATAAATAATTAGAAGAATAACAGACAGCAAAATCGAGTACTTCATGTAGCATTTGTGGGAAAGAGTTCTCGAGAAATCAAACCATCACCTTTTTTCTTATCAAACCATTGATTACACGGGAAAATCGTAACTTCAGAACTTTCTAAGTTGGTGATTTCTACTTTATCAAGCATCCAACCAGCTCCATATCCTTTATTATCATGTTCAATACGTAATCTCTTTAGTTGACCTAAATCTAGTGCTTCAATAATAAAGCAATCCTTTTGACCACGCTCAAATAAATTCACCATTTTTTTTGATAACCTCCGTGGACCAGTATCACCGTTTTCTCCGTATAGCACAATTGTAACATTAGCATCGGTGCCCGCATGAAGAACGTCAGCGGTAAAAACCGCCACCTCGTACTTCATGGCTTGAAGCTCTGAAATATATAAACGAAAAAAACAATTGGATTGTCACGCAGTTTTTCCAAAATTAAGGTTTTTGATGAAATTTAAAATAATGCCATTAAAAGCATCTCTATCTAAACATTTTTTAAAATATCTCTACTATGAAAAACATGTTTATAACCAACATTTGCAGCGAGATCACATCTAAGGAATGTTGACAATATCTCAGTTGAGAACGATAGACATTCAGAGTTGACAATAATCAACATAAAAATGTGTGTACCTCGTTTTACAGATAGCCTTGATCGTTCAGCTGTTTTACACTCCAATATAACTCTGTCATCTTTGCTTGAAGAAAGTGGTATCCATTGACGGCAAGGAAATACAAATCTGGAAACAAACAAAAAGCAATGCAAACCTATACATCAATAAGTGTTACTAAGTACATTAAAAGATGAGTAAAATAACAAATGTGTAACATATAAAACAAATAGTCAATTGCTCATTACCTTTCACCGGTGTCAGTGTTTTTTACCACTACTTCATGTAAATACCATGATGTTTCTTTCTCAGAAAGTTTTGCTCCAAGCTTTGGGTGATGTCCAATAATAACTTCAATGAGATTTCCCAGAGGTTTGGTTACAAATTTAAATGTGTTAGTGTTTCCACGTCTGAGAAGTTTATTTTTCGAATTGTTTTCAATGTGAAGAACCTGAGATTTCCTCTTTTCCCCAACTAAGACGATGGACGCGTTCTGATTGGTACCTGCATTCTGTCTATCACTCGTCAAAAGGGTTATTTCAAATGCTATAAAAAGACAAAGTATTTTACACAAGGCAAACAAGATTTCCAGTTAGTTGAAAATGTTTTACCAGCAACTGGAGAGTCGGTAGCTTCATCTCTATTAGCACATGCCAATTCTCGAACTAAACTACCGTCATCTTTGTCCTTGCCTAGCCAACGATCACAGGGAAATTCATAAAATTTCTTTGTTGTTTCATCTTCAATATTTATTCTTTCTAAATACCAACTAGCTTTTGGGAACTTGTTATCATGCCATATTCGTACTTTAATTAGTTCACCTTGAACGAAGAAGAAGTAAGGCATTGAAAATGAAGATTTTAATTAAATTATTAATGCAAGCAATGATTTTATCCAATGTAAACATTGTTCAATTACAAATTTACATTAATACAAACCCAAACTTAGTATGTCCTGGAGTAAAAAGACATCAGTATGACCTCGTTCGAACTTGTCTTTGTAAGTTTCAGACTTTTTCAGAGCTATTTCACCTGAGTCGCCATGTTCACCAAAGATTATGATACAAACATTTGCATCTGTCCCTGCGCCACCAACATCACCCGTTATTACATTTAGTTTATATGACGTCTCTGTTTAAAAACAGAATATAACTGTCAATAGATTCTAATTTCGGATTCTACAATCCTCCAATGTTGAATATGAATTTGAATTAAAGATAAGATTTAGGAAAGTGAGATGGAATAATATAGAAATTAAAGCAATTAATCCTTACATTTTGCAACACAACGAGTGTAACATTATAATAATGAATGAAAAAATTCAACATTTTTCAATTAATGAATCTTACTTTCATTCCAGTGAGGACATAAAAAAAGATTAGCTTTTTATCCATGAATAAAGTTTAATTTATTTCGTTGGGCAAATTTGGCTAACCATAAGTTTCAACATAAGAACAGACATTAAACAATAAAAGTTAAAACTATAATTTAAAGCTAGCCAAGTTGTTCAAATGAGACGATCTTTTACCAAAACTAAAAGAAAACAATACTTCGAGAGCTTAAAATAATCTTAATATCAAAAATAAGTTTCTAAATTTCTCACTATGATCTCTAAACTTACTTTCGACTTTTTTCTCTCCGTCAGTAATAGCAGGTAGTTCTTTGACTAAATCTCCAGGAGTTAGCCAAGAATTACATTTAAATACACTAACAGAACCTGTGAAATCATTTCGAACTATAACCTGATGAGAAAAGAATGTTGTTAAACTCAGAGTTAAGTATGGACTTGTAGACAATTGAAGGTATATACGGCGTTGTGTGGTCAAAAATTACGTAATGGTTGAAATAGTTGATGGTAGTTGACAATTGTGGGGTCAAAAATTACGTAATGGTTGAAATAGTTGATGGTAGTTGATGATTGTGTGGTCAAAAATTACGTAATGGTTGAAATAGTTGATGGTAGTTGATAATTGTGTGGTCAAAAATTACGTAATGGTTGAAATAGTTGATGGTAGTTGACAATTGTGGGGTCAAAAATTACGTAATGGTTGAAATAGTTGATGGTAGTTGATAATTGTGTGGTCGAAAATTACGTAATGGTTGAAATAGTTGATGGTAGTTGATAATTGTGTGGTCAAAATTACGTAATGGTTGAAATAGTTGATGGTAGTTGATAATTGTGTGGTCGAAAATTACGTAATGGTTGAAATAGTTGATGGTAGTTGATAATTGTGTGGTCGAAAATTACGTAATGGTCAAAATAGTTGATGGTAGTTGACAATTGTGTGGTCAAAAATTACGTAATGGTTGAAATAGTTGATAGTAGTTGACAATTGCTTGGTCAAAAATTACGTAGTGGTTGAAATAGTTGATGGTAGTTGACATTTGTGTGTTCAAAAATTACGTAATGGTTGAAATAGTTGATGGTAGTTGACATTTGTGTGTTCAAAAATTACGTAATGGTTGAAATAGTTGATGGTAGTTGACAATTGTGTGGTCAAAAATTACGTAATGGTTGAAATAGTTGATGGTAGTTGATACCAGTGTCATTGTTGTTATAGAAGATACTTAAGGTAAGAAAACTTTCAATTTGAACTATATTATTGACCTTATCTAAGAACCATTCATTTCTGTTTCCTTTCCCCTTATGACCAATCCTCAGCTTACACAATTTACCAACATCTTCCAGTTCCATTCGAAATAAGTCAGTTCCACCTCGTTCAAACATTTCGTCTCCCTTCTCAAGCTTCACTTCGGACGTGGCGCCCTCACTGCCATATATGGTCATAGTGACATCACCATCAATACCAGCATCCTTTACGTCACCAGTAAATACAGTGATCTCATAAAGAATAACTAAAAGTTAAATGCACAAAGAGAAATTGTCAACAATGATAAAGTCAACTTTACATTTGAAAATTTTACATGTTGTCTTGGTATAATAACAATAGAAAATCCATGACACCTACACAACAATAGGAAATCTAGTCAAGTTTGAAAGACGACTCACATGGTTTGTAAGAAATTTGATCGCCATCATTAAGAGTAAGAATACGAGCCGTCAGTCCATCATCTTTATCTTTCGCCAGCCAGCGTTTGCACGGGAAATGATACACTTTGCCACGTGTTGGAACATCAATATCCACTTCTTTGAGATACCAAGCATCTTTGGCCAAAAACCCATTATGACCTAATCATTATACATTTTTCATTACTGAGTAATTTATTGAATATGTATATAAATATGCTTCCACTTACCAATTTCAATTTTTCTAATATCACCAACGTCGACGCCTTCTATTGAGAAAGTTTCAGCAGTACCAGGTTCAAATCCTGTCTTTTGAACAAGTTCCAGGTCAATTTTTTCAGTACACGCCTCAGTACCAATTATAACGATGTAAACATTTGCCTCGGTCCCACTTCCTTTTTCCTCTGAAGTGAGCACGCGGACAGTGTAAGAAATAACTGAATAGAAAAAATAAGAGTTATAAGTAAATTCTACGATGTATTTTCTATGGCTAATGACATGATAGCACAGATGTCTTGTGAGGTGACTACAAAATTTTCTAGATATCTCTCAGCTTAAAACAGTATAGCATACATTTCTGTATGGTTGACTATGGGATGTGGCTTGGATGCATGTCTACGATCACGTGACTCGATACAGTTCTGCATACTGATGTGTATATATAACTGATCACGTGAGAAAAGAGATGTATTCAAGACAGATCTTATGATGATACATACATTTCTGTAGCAGATTACATGATGGCAAACACTTTTATAGCAACATGAAAAAAATTGACGAATAATGAGCAGTTACACTAACATTTCAATGCGTTGTATTTTTTGCTGTTTTTTTTGAATTCTTTTTCAAAGATGGCATCAGCTGTTGAGCTTCGCTTCGAACTTCGAAATAACGATATACGAGGATTAATGTTTGAACTCATGCTCATGTCTGTCATAGTGCTTGAGCGATCACCCTGTGAACAAAACATCAGTTGTAATTATGAATATTTTGACAAGGAGCTGATGACGCTCTGAATCACGTGATAAGACACTTTGGGAACCATTTGGTGCACGACATTGTCTTAAGAAACAATCATGAAAAAAAGTGAAAATCATAAGACGAAAAATTAATGAAGCAAAGGATTAAATAAAAATGAGGAGTTTCTAAAAACTAGCTCGAAGCTAAAGGTTAAATAACGAAACACAAGTACAGCTGAAATTTATATTCCACTGATAATTCTATACATGAAAACAAAACATTTGCCATTGAGGAATTTTAACGTAACTACTATAAATACACACTTACTTGTTTATATATTTCTTTCACTAAACAAACCTTAAAATCTTTTTCATAAAAATTTCTGTCAATCTTTTTGTCTTCCTTGCTTCTTGCGAGCCAGCGTTCACAATGAAAAATAAAATGTCTGTCAGCGGTAAGATCTTCAATTTCTACTCTCTCAACAAACCAAGATGAATTTAACAATTTATTGTCATGCCGTAAGTTCATCATGTGTATATAACCAAGATTTGCTGCTTCAAGTGTAAAAATGTCTTCCTAAAGCAATAAAAAACATAAGTCAACATAAAAACAAGAAGAAACAACAAAATGTACATATAGTCAAGAAAAGAACAGAAAAGGAACGATAAATTTTGTAAACATCGTTTCTTACATTTCCACGTTCAAATTTATCAGTATGAGTCTCAGATTTGGACAGCGGTCGTTCACCAGAGTCACCATATTGACCATATAAGGTAAGAAAGACATTTGCATCAGTCCCTGCACCTTTAACGTCACCAGTGATCACGTATACGATATTTATGAACTGGAAAAAGAAAAACGATAAAAACACTACTTTTGCATTGTTTTTATTGCATTTTAAATACCAGTTTATGTCGACTTACCATCCAATGCTTCTTGTTCTACTTTATTAGAAACAATTTCACCATCCTTCTTCACAATTTCTTCGGTGACATCTTTTGGCACCAGTTCCCTAACTATCGTTCCGTCGTCTTCACCTTTTGCAAGCCAGCGTCCGCAGGGAAACGAATATAGTTTCGCACTTTTACTGTCTTCAAGTAAGCGTCGTATTTCAACTTTTTCTAAAAACCATCCTGCCAAAATCCCTTTACCATCATGACCAACGCGGATCTTCTCGATGACGTCACCAACGTCAGGTAACTGGATGGAAAATTAATGACATAAAAGTATGAAACAAGTCGTACATTACATGAAAAACTTAATGCAATACCTCTTTAACAAACTGGTCCGAGGCCCCTCTCTCAAAGCAATTTTTCCTTTTCTTCTTAGTGTCAGCTAGAACACACTCTCCCAGTATTGAGTTCAGTTCCGTATATAACAATAAAAACATTGGCCCCAGTCCCTGCTCCGCTCACATCTCCTGTAAACACTGTGATTTCATAGGGAACATCTACCATAAAAGAAGACGTTGATTACATAAGTGATGTTGTTATCCCGCAGCAATGGCGTACGTAACTTGAAAGTTTTTTCATGCAATAAAAATATTTTGGTGTTAACTCACTATAGAAATAATAAATTTCTAAAGAATATAATAATGCTGATGACGAAAAATTTACATAGCATAAATAAATTTGGGAATGGCTCGCTACTGTCCCGCAGGCATAAAAATTAATAAACTGCAGTCAGTAAGTTTAAGTAATTATTCGCGTGTTGTTAGTTATTGAAGAACATTGGACAATTAATTAACTCACGTGATGTTAGTTATTGAAGAACATTGGACAATTTATCAACTCACGTGATGCTAGTTATTGATGAGCATTGGACAATTTATCAACTCACGTGTTGTTAGTTATTGATGAGCATTGGACAATTTATAAACTCACGTGATGTAAGTTATTGAAGAACATTGGACAATTTATCAACTCACGTGATGTTAGTTATTGAGGAACATTGGACAATTTATCAACTCACGTGATGTTAGTTATTGAGGAACATTGGACAATTTATCAACTCACGTGATGTTATTTATTGAGGAGCATTGGACATTTTATCAACTCACGTGATGTTAGTTATTGATGAACATTGGACACTTTATCAACTCACGTGATGTTAGTTATTGAGGAACATTGGACACTTTATCAACTCACGTGATGTTAGTTATTGAGGAACATTGGACACTTTATCAACTCGTGATGTTAGTTATTGAGGAACATTGGACTTTATCAACTCACGTGATGTTAGTTATTGATGAACATTGGACAATTTATCAACTCACGTGATGTTAGTTATTGAGGAACATTGGACAATTTATCAAATCACGTGTTGTTAGTTATTGAGGAACATTGGACACTTTATCAACTCACGTGATGTTAGTTATTGATGAACATTGAACAATTTATCAACTCACGTGATGTTGGTTATTGAGGAGCATTGGACATTTTATCAACTCACGTGATGTTAGTTATTGATGAACATTGGACATTTTATCAACTCACGTGATGTT